TGCAGATAACGACTCTCCTTTTGAGAGACAGCTCTTGGCCTGTTACTGGGTTTTGGGGGAAACTGAATATTTGACTATAGGCCATCAAATCACCATGCAACCTGAACTGCCTGTCATGAACTGGGTGCTTTCTGTCCCATCTAGCCATAAAGTGGGTCATGCACAGCAGCATTCCATCATCAAATGGAAGTGGTATATATGCTATTGGGCTTGAGCAGGTCCTGAAGACACAAGTAAGTTACATGAGGAAGTGACACAAATGCCCATGGTCTCCACCCGTGCCACCCTGCCTTCTCTCCCCCAGCCTGCACTGATGGTCCTGTGGGGAGTTCCCTATGATGGAGTTGATGAAGGAAGAGAAAACCAGAGCCTGGTTCACTGATGGTTCTGCACGATATGCAGGCACCGCCCCAAAGTGGACAGCTGCAGCACTACAGCCCCTTTCTAGGACATCCCTGAAGGACAGTGGTGAAGGGACTTCCAAGTGGACAGAACTTCAAACAGTGTACCTGGTTTTGCACTTTGCTCTGATATACTTAAGCATGGGCTGTAGCCAGTGGTTTGGCTGGATGGTCAGGGACTTGGAAGAAGCACGATTGGAAAATTGGTGACAAAGAAATTTGGTGAAGAGGTGTGCAGATGTGTGATTAAACAATAGAAATGTATTTATTCACATTTCTGGAGACTAAAAAATCCAAGATCAAGATGGTGGCTGGTTTGAATTCTTCTGCGGGCTCTCTTTGGCTTGCAGATTGCCACCTTCTCACTAACTTTTTATATGTTTGTCCCTTTCTCTGTGTGTCTGTATCCTAATCTCCTCTTCTTGTGAAGACACCAGTCATATTGAATAAGATCCTAACCATAAAATCTCATTTTCCCTTAATTACCTCTTCAAAGGCTCTATCTCCAAATGCAGTGACTTTGTATGTGTACATTTGGAGGAAGGGGTATAATTCAGCTCATAATACCCTGCCAACTAAAATCAGAATTTATATGCACAAAAATAAACTTGTTGTGTTAAACCATTTAAATTTCAGGAGATGTTTTCATTCCATTAGCTCACTGTTACTTTATCTGACTACTACACTGCCCCTCTTCCTTGTATTAGGCTTACTTTAATGCTTTTCTTACCAATAAATACTGCATATATTATTGTTGTAAAAAAATAATAAAAATACATAGAAATCACAATTCTCTTCTCTGCAAATTTCCTCCAAAAATCAGCCCCCTACTCAGAACTTTCCACAATGTGGTGTGTACATTTTTAAAGCTAATTTCAAGTTTTTAAAAGATAGATGTGGTAATGTATATGTGTGTATATATATGCCTATATATACATATATAAAAATATATATGCATATATGTGTGTGTATGAATATAACTAAACATGAGTAATGATATATATCTAAGTATGCCACTTGCCTTTGCCACTATGACAGGTTCAATTGCATTCCCCTAAAATTCTACCTTGAAATTAAAAATGTGACATTATTTAGAGATAGGATTATTTCAGAGGCAATCAAGTTAAAATGAGGTTATTAATACTGGCCCTAATCAAATATGATGGGAGTCATTTTAAAAAGGGGAAATTTGGGCATAGAGATATGAGTAGAAGGATGATAATGTGAACAGATATGGACTGAAGACAACCATCTACAAGGCAAGGAGAGAGGCCTGGAATACAACTTTTCATCACAGCCCTCAGAAGGAATCAACCTTGTATACACCTTGCTTTTCGACTACCAGACTCCAAAACTGTGAGACAATATATTTCTGTTGTTTATGTCATCCCAGCTGTGGTACATTGCTGTGGCATCCCTAACATGCCAGTGTAATCACGTATTGAAATGGATCCAAGATCTTTCCATGACAGCACAAATGTTAATAGATCCATCTTACTTTGGGGACTACTTCCTAGAATTCTAATTTATTTCTGTGCAATAACGAATTGAACAGATCTTTTGATGAACAAATATTTGTTTATCTTTTGTGGCTATAATTCTTGTAAATACAATCAATATCTCTGAGCATAAATTCTGGGACAAGTACATATAATTACTTATAAGGAATGTATTTTAATGAGGAAACTGAGTCAGTATGAATATTTTACATTTTTTAAACGTTACTGACTTTTTTCCTAAAATATTTCACCAATTAATTCTCTCACATTAACAGAGGAAATTATTATTATTCCCCATAATTGTCTATGGGGAAATGATTCATTTATTCACAAACATATTTTATCAGAGTTTTAAATGTTGGCCAAACTTATGGGGGCAAACCCTAGGTGACTTTGGGTTTGGTGATGACTTTTTTAGATGTAACACCAAAATTTGGTTAAACTTATGGGTGCAAACCCTGGGTAACCTTGGTTTTGATGATGACTTTTTCAGATGCAACACTAAAAGTACCAGCTACCTAAGAAAAAAGAGATAAATTGGACTTAATTAAAACTAAAAACTTTTACTCTGAAAAGTCACTGTTAAGATCAGGAAAAGACAAGCCAGAGACTGGGATAAATGTTTTGTGAAACACATATCTGATAAAAGATATATATTTAAATATGCACAAAACGCTGAAAACCCAATCATAAGAAAATAGAAAACCCAATTTAAAGTGGACAAAAACTATAAACAGGTACACAAACAATGAATATATAGGAATTTAAAATGAGCATATTTCAATTTTATATGTCATTTGAGAATTGCAAATTAAAGCACCTAGGAGATAGCACTCTGCACCCATGAGAATGGCTGACATCCAAAACACCAAAACATCAAATGTTGACCCATATGATGAGCAACAGGAACTTTCAGTCATTGTTGGTAGGACGGACCTGGAGGAATCATAAAAGCATAAGGCTAAGTGAAAGAAGAAAATCTTAAAAGGCTACATAATGTATTATTCCAATCACACAATATTCAGAAACAGGTAACTATGAATACACTAAAAATATCAGTGGTTTCCAGAGGCTGAGAGGTTAGGATTGGGGCAAGGGGGATTGATAGGTGGAGCACACAGGAGATTTAGAATGGTGTAACAAGTCTGTGTGATACTGTAATGACGAATATTCACCATCACGCACTTATCAAAACCTATAGCATCCCCAACGTCGAATGATTCCTGATGTAAACTGTGGACTTGACCTAATAATGAAATATCAATACAGGTCCATCAATTGTTGCAAACGTGCCATAATAACACAAAATATAAATAATAGGAGACACTGTGTGTGTGTGTGTGTGCATAGGGCAGAATAGGTGGGCAGAGGTATGTGGGAACTCTGTAACTTTGATGAAATTTTCTCTTTGTATTTTTGGATTAGCAATGCTCTGAAAATGATGTCTGTTAGTTTTTAAAAAGGCACAAATGATTTGAACAGACACTTTGCTGAAGAGAATATACCAATCAGAAAAAGGCGTATAAAAAAAGATGACCAGCGTCATTTGTCATTAGGAAGATGCAAACAAAAACCAAAGGAGATTCAAACACAGGCTTATTAGAATGGCTGAAATCTGAAAATCAAATACTAAATGTAAGAGGGGCTATGGAACAAGAGGAATTCTCATTTCTTACTAGTTGAGATAAAAAATGATACAGCCACACTTTTAAATCCATGTTTTGTGAACCTACTCATATGACATATTGTGAAAGTTAAAACTGTATGAACTGGAAACAGAGCGTAGGTGCTAGAATCTTTGGAGAAGTGCCTTCACTGACCTCAGAAGAGATGGACAGGGGATTTTTCGGGTGATGGAACTGGTCAGTGTGACACTTGGTTGGCAGATATGGAACTCCATGCATTTGCCAAAATACATACAGTTTCACATAATAGTTAAATCTGATGAGTGTATTTTTAAAATTAATAAAAAATTATAATAAAAATTAATAACATTATATTAATAAGATTTAAAAAATAATTTTTTAAAAAAAATCACACATAGGCTGCTGAAAAGACAATAGATTTTTCTGGGACAAGGATAGGAAAAGAAGCAAAATGAAGGGAGCCTTTGACATAGCTTAGGAGACAGATTATATTAACTTCACACACAGCAGTACTTAAAGTAGAAGGTTTTGGAATGGATTTTAGAGGATGACAGAACAACTGTTGCTGTCTGGACAGGAGAAGGGGGGAGTGCAGGCCCTGGAAGGAGTAAAACCTTGAGGAAGACAGAGGGGCCTTCTCACCTCATTTCAGACACCAGGCAGCTTCAGTTAAGCAGAGAAAGGAGGCCCGGGGCTGGCCAACAAGCAAGAAGGGAACTCTGTGGAAGGACAGTGACCTCCCAACATGGAGGGGAGGCCCAGGTGTCGCCCAGCCACTCCTTGCTGTCACCTCTGGACAAAAGAGGTGGAGAGGCAAAAACAGAGAGGTGGGCAGGGAGAGGTGGGCGAAGGGCTGGGAAGTGGACAGGAATAGGTGGGAGTGGGGAGGTAGGCAGGAAGGAGTGAAAGGGGCAGGTTGGTAGGCCCCAGGGGTGGGAGAAAGTTGGGAGGTGGGTAGGAAAAGGTGGGAGGGAGTGGGAAGGTGGGCAGGAAGGAGTTGGAGTGGCGGGAATGTGGGCAATAAAAGGTGAAAGGGGGTGGAAGGTGAACAGGAAAGGGTGGGAAGGGGCGGGGAAGTGGGCATTATGGGGAGAGAGGGGTCAGGGAGGAGGGCGGGAAGGGGTGGGAGGAGACAGGGAGGAGGGCGGAAAGGGGTGGAAGGGGGCAGGGAGGAGGGTGGTAAGGAGTGGGAGGGGGCAGGGAGAAGAGGGAGAAGCAGAGGAAGTGGTGAAAGAGGAATGGGAGGAGGGTGGGAAAGTGTGGGATGGGACAGGGAGGAGGGGAGGAAGTGGTGAAAGAGGACTGGGAGGTGGCAGGAAGGGGTGGGAGGGGGTAGGGAGATCAGCACAAAGGGGTGGGAGGGGCGCTGAGGAGGGCAGGAAGAAGTGGAGTGTGGGGAAGTGGTCAGGAAAAGGTGGAAGGAGGTGGAGAGGTGAGGGGTGGTTTTTCCATAGAGAGGAGGCCCGGCCCCATGCTGCCCCTGGTCAACCTTGGCAGGGTTCTCGCATGTGCTTTCCCGACTTGCACTGTGGGAGTCTGAAGGACCTGAGGCTTTTTGTGAGGAGTCTGGACTCAGGTCAGCAGAGGGAAGTCTTAGACCTGGCCAATCCTCAAGGTAAGGGGCCTAAGGGAGAACTGAGGGACCTCTCACCAAGGAGAGAAGCAGCCCCGGTCCGCCCTGCCCTGCCGTAGGACTTGCAGGCCGCTGACAGGAAGATGGCCGCTGGGGGCTGACCGTGGCATCCCCACAACAGAAGAAGGGAGGAGGTGCCGGCCCTCTAGGGAATAAATAGGAAGACTTTGAGGAGGACTGGGGGAACCCCCACCTCAGAGGACGGATTCCCACAGATTCCCACCCTGCTCCTCGAGAATCAGCCCTGGTAGAGCTCCCTGCCAGCTCAGGCTGAGCGGCCACCAGAGTCTCTAGGCTGGTACTTATTTGCCTCCCTGCTGGGTGAGGGGTGTAGGGGAGGAGGAGGCCTTGGTCTGGGGGTCCCATGGCAAGTCATCAGGGAGAGCTGCCTCCAGTTGGCAGAGGGAAGATTCCCAGGCCCTGCTGGGGATAAGAGAGAGGACTGAGGGGTCACATGTGCATCAGAACAGACGTGAGGCCACCCTGACTGCCCCCGTGGTAGAGTGCTGGGAGGCGGCTGCCACCTCACCACCTCCCACTGCTCTCAGGGATGTGGAGTTTGCCCTGAGGTTTTGGCTCAGGCCAGAAGAGTGGTAGGGACATGGCCCTGTCTGAGAAAAGGTGAGGATGCTCATTAAATTCTGATGGGACTATGCAGTCCAGAACTGTGGGCCTCTGGGTGTCTGGCCAGCCCCAGCTGTCAGCCCTGGGAGGCCCAAGGCTCTGCTTGCACTCTTTAGCCTGAGAGGCTCCCTCACTTCCTCTTGCAGGTGCTCCAGGAACCAGCAGTTGAAGACCTGGGTGTGAGGCACACTTCCTAAAACCAGCACCGCAGAGGAGGCCCAGGCAGTGCCAGGAGTCAAAGTGAGTGCACACCCTGACTGTGTACCAAGGGCCCTACCCCCGCAAACAGGGGAGACCCCACAGCACCCGGCCCTACCCACCTACTGTCAGTCCCGGAGCCTGTGGTTCTGCCTGGCATCTGTATCCCGAGGTGCTTTCTCCCATCCTCCTACAGATTCTGAGGGAATAAACCTCTTAGGAAGACAGGAGACCTGTCAGGCCCTAGAGCACCACTTTAAGAGAAGAAGAGCTGTAAGCCGCTCTTTGTCAGAGCCATCATAGATGAGTTTCTCAGCTGAAGCCACTCGCACTGTCACTGTCTTCCTCAGGCCTGTGGGATCCTGTCATCCCCATCCCTGCTCACACGTTTACCTGCTGCTCCTGAACAACAGGTCTCATGCCTCTCTTTCCAAACCTTCCAGGCCTCAGCTTTGAGGCAGACTTCCCGAACCCCAGTGTGATAGAGGACTTGGTAGATGCACAGGATTCCATAGATGAGGAAGAGGAGGCTGCCTCCTCCACTTCCCCTTCCTCTTTCCACTTTTCATTCCCCTCCTCCTCTTCCTCTTCCTCCCCCTCTACTCTGATTCTGGGTGCTCCAGAAGATGAGGATATGCCTGCTGCTGGGATGCCACCTCTTCCCCAGAGTCCTCCTGAGATTCCTCCCCAGGGTCCTCCCAAGATCTCTCCCCAGGGTCCTCCCAAGATCTCTCCCCAGGGTCCTCCACAGAGTCCTCCCCAGAGTCCTCTAAACTCCTGCTCATCCCCTCTTCTGTGGACCCGATTGGATGAGGAGTCCAGCAGTGAAGAAGAGGAGGATACAGCTACCTGGCAGGCCTTGCCAGAAAGTGAATCCTTGCCCAGGTATGCCCTGGATGAAAAGGTGGCTGAGTTGGTGCAGTTTCTTCTTCTCAAATATCAAACAAAAGAGCCTGTCCCAAAGGCAGAGATGCTGACGACTGTCATCAAGAAGTATAACGACTATTTTCCTATGATCTTCGGGAAAGCCCATGAGCTCATAGAGCTAATTTTTGGCATTGCCCTGACTGAGATGGACCCGGACAACCACTCCTATTTCTTTGAAGACCCATTAGGCCTCACCTATGAGGGAAGCCTGATGGATGACTAGGGCATGCCCCAGAACTGTCTCCTGATTCTTATTCTCAGTATGATCTCCATAAAGGGCAGCTGTGTCCCTGAGGAGGTCCTCTGCGAAGTGTTGAGTGCAATAGGGGTGTGTGCTGGGAGGGAGCACTTTATATATGGGAACCCCAGAAAGCTGCTCATTATAGATTGGGTGCAGAGAAAGTACCTGGAGTACTGGGCGGTGCCCAACAATGCTCCTCCACGTTATGAATTCTTGTGGGGTCCAAGAGCCCATTCAGAGGCCAGCAAGAGAAAAGTCCTAAAGTTTTTAGCCAAGGTATCCAGTATCATCCCTAGTTCCTTTCCATCCTGGTACATGAATGCTTTGAAAGATGTGGAAGACAGAGCCCAGGCCATAATTGACACCACAGATGATGCTACTGCCACGGCCAGTGCAAGCCCCAGTGTCACGTCCACCAACTTCTGTCCTGAGTGATGTCTGAAGCAGATTTCCCCTCTGTGTTTGAAGATGGCAGACGAGGTTCTAGGCAGTGGGGGTCCAGAGTGGAGGTGGAGGGACCACAGTGTTTTTTGTGTTTCTGTTTCATATGAGTGACTTAAGAGTTTAACATTTTTTTGTGTAGGGGGGTATATTTTACAAATGCTTCTCCTTCCAATTGGTTTAATTCACTTCAGAATGTTAGTTTATGAATATTATTCACACTTGTATTGCTGTTTGTCTGATTTAAGGGAGAGTTTGATATTTCATAAGAAACAAAGGGAAAATCTGTCTTATTTTGTGAACTGAAACAATATAATGTGGTGTTCGGATAAGAATTTTCTTTAAAATTTGAAATAACTCTGCAGTTAAATTGTGGAACAGAATAAAGTATGGTTGATATTAGCATATCCTTATCATGTTACTCTGTTGTTCCTCCAAATTAAGGATATATACCTGGCTTTGCTTGGCTTATTCAAGAAAGTAGCAGAAATTAAATCTTAATAAATAAAAGCCTCAGTGACTATTTGCTAAACATTCTTTGAGCAGTTGCTTGTGGAGCATGCTCTTAGTCGTGAGGATACTATAAAAACCAAGACTTATCTCCACCCATAAAATGTTAGAGTCTAGGTTCAGAAGCCGTATCAGGAGCGTGGTAAGATACTCTATAGAATCATAAAAACTAGTTTAAAAACGAGTGGGGAGGTGAAACTGCAGATAGAGCCTTCAAGTAAAAAGGCCCAGAGCTATGACAGTTTTGCCCTTCGGGAAACTTCTGGTGCTTCTGTGGGAGCTGATTGTTATGAAGCTGGGTGGTGGCAGGGCCCAGACTCTCAGAAGGTGATAGAAAAACCTGGAATGGAAAACTGCTCTGAGTAGTTCCTTCTGGTGGAGGATGAGGCAGAGAGGAGTCTCCACATGGGGAATTAATAGAAGGTGTCCTGCAGCTCTCTAACTGGTGAGCTTGAACACAGTGCAAGAACTAGGTGATTGATAACCATCATCTGCAAGGGTTTCCTGAGACATAGGGTGATAATCCCTTGAAGTGTTGCTCAGAAGCCTCTAGGCTGGCACTTAATTGCCTGGCTTGGGAAAACCAGAGCCTACTCCATTGAAAGACATGTAATTAGGTTATTTCAGTTGTAATGTGGGCAACTGTAAGCAAGGGCTAGATTTTTACTGGAGGATAAATAAAAATAGTGGTTTGGAAGGATGAGCAATGGGGAAAGTATAAAGGAGTTGGTGTTTGACTCAAATTTAGGATCTTTGAGTTGCATTCCAGCTGAAGATGCCTTGCCTTTTCCAAATTATACAATATACCCTTTCAGAAAAAAAATGTACTGAGTTTTATTTATGAAGTCAAAGTTTTGGTTAAGCTGGTAGTAGTCCATGACACATTCGCCTACATATTCTCAGATGTTTAGGATAACAAAACTAAGAGCTGAACATTTCACAAAAGACAGTAACCTTTGGTGTGGTAATCATTGATAACAACTGCCATTTATGAAAATTCCAATAGGTGCCAGGCACTGTGGCAGGTGTGTTATTCACATTACATACATTCCAGCAATTTTACAAGACAGGGCTTATCAAACTCATTTTGCAAATGAAGAACCTGAGGCTCATAATGCTTGATAAATTCCCAAGACCACATAGCTAGAATGTGACAAGGTTGTGACATGAGCCCTGGTCTGAATTCATTTAGGCCCACACTGTCCACACTCCTCCCAGCCTGAGGAAGGCCTTTGCCTGTTAAATCACTTCTTTTCACACTTCTTAATGTCTGTCAGGTGAAATAAAGATGAACCGTGTGGCTAAGGTATTAAGTTAGGCAGCAAGATGGAAGGTCAAATGGGAATAAAATACACTTCGGGGAACATTATTGGCTTTCTTTACCTAAAGTCCTCTTGTTCTAAGCACTAGGTTTCTTGAGAGCTGAATGTCCAGGTGCTGACACATTTGTCCATCCCCAGCAATTTTTCCCATTACAGCCCCCTGCCCCTCCTTTTGATCTCCCCTGTGTGCTCTCTTGCGCAACTCTGGAACCCGGCCTCCTGACTAACTTCTCATTACGGTCTCACTTTCTGAAGTGTGAGGACTGAGGAGTCACATGTGCACCAGAATAGATATGAGACTAGCCCCTATTTCTCCTGGTGTAGAGTGCCTGGAGGTGGCTGCTCAACTCTCAGCGCAAGAGCCTAGAAGCACCTGGCCTTCCCCTGAGATAGAGCATTCCTACTCCCTGCAGAAGTTCCCTGACTCATCCATCCCTCTTCCTGGTTCCTCTGTGATAATGGCCTTTCGATGTGACTATTCACTTTGGATAGTGATATTTCCATACCTAGGCTGGGCATCTTCAACACACGATCAACGTATTACCAAATAGGCTGCAGAGTAAAATCTGACTTGCCACATAATATATGGGTTTGTGGGATGTAATCCTAAGGTCAGATATAGCTTATTTGAAATCTTCCTAATATTTGATACTTGTAGTATGATTTTAATGAGATGCATTATTTGAAACAGGGCACTGGACACAAACAGAGATGAATAAGCTTTTGTAGATGATCACATGCCAATCTTTCCTTCATAAACTTTGTGGATGAGGAAAGGCTATAGACATCACATTGTAAATCATCTATAAGAAGGCAAATTTCCAAAAAAAGCAAAACAATAACAAAATCTTGAAGACTGTCTAGGAGTTGACAAGGGTACTTTGGGGGACATGCCAGCTCTGATGAGAAATAAACAATAGTTAAACATCCTTCCGCTATCTCTTGTGTGTGTACCTGCTCCACAGGAAAATCCTGGCTTGCAGTGAGCCACAGGCACGTGTATAGCTGTTCAGGAATGTTCCGTCCTATGCAGGGTAGCAGAGGCTCAAAGGGTAGGTTATTTACCATACACCAAAAATATGAGAGAATTCTCAGCCTGAAGAAATTATATAGGTTATTAAAAGGACAGTGCCGGCCGGGCGCGGTGGCTCAAGCCTGTAATCCCAGCACTTTGGGAGGCCGAGACGGGCGGATCACGAGGTCAGGAGATCGAGACCA